TATACATGGAACCCGCATACCCAGAACAATCACTTTCCACTAAACTGAAGTACAAACCTGGCTCAGCCCTCCCATGAAATAACGGTGGACAGTGGATCAGGCTGCTAGGTGAAAGACACCATAAAAATCAAATGAAAGCAAAGAAACCAGACTGCACAGATGTACTGACTGAAGATGACACGTCCCAGGACACCGGTGCCAAGAGGCATTCAGGCTGACACTAAGAAAGGCTGAATATGGCAGGGTGTGGTAGCTCACACCTATAATCCCAGCACTTTGGGAGGCCGAGGCAGGTGGGCCATGAGGTCAGGAGATCGAGACCATCCTGGCTAACATGGTGAAACCCCGTCTCTACTAAAAATACACACACACAAAAATTAGCTGGGTGTGATGGCGCTACTGTAGTCCCAGCTACTCGGGAGGCTGACGGAGCTTGCAGTGAGCCGAGACTGTGCCACTGCACTCCAGCCTGGGTGACAGAGCGAGACACCAACTCAAAAAAAAAAAAAAAAAAAAAAAAAAGACAAAGGTTGAACGCAAACTCCAGTGATCTCCAGGGTCAAAGGCCTTGCTTTTAGCACTCATTCTAGGTGGCCTTAGCCACCGTTTCTGCCAAACTTCCCTCCTAGAGATTGCCTGACTAAAAGTTAAGAAATTAATTACTTGATTTAAAAAAGAATGTTGCTTTTTGCTTCTGCTGGCGTGGTTTATAGCTGACAACGATGAACCTCCTGGAGTGGGAAGGGAAGAACGAGGCCATGAGATAATTGCTTGAATCCACTTCCACGTGTGCCTGCGGCTCCGCCAGGATGCAAGGTAAGAGCCCAGCATTCCATCACCACAGATTTACGCCAAGAGACGCTCGTGGTTTCTCCTCTGTAGGATCCATTACTATAAATCTCACTGAAATTAATATTCCAACCAATGCACCGCCTGTCAAATAGGACTAACATCAGAAAGCACCATTTCTCAAACCTTAAGACGTAGATGATGGCCCGTAAAGTAAATGATTAGTTTCTTGGCAAAGCAGGAAGGTTTGATAAAAGGTGTTATATGTCAACGGCTTCGCTTCCATAATCAACACAGGCTCTAATCACTTTTGCTGAGCTAAGGAGCAATCTGCTTGTGCTGGGTTTCAGAACTGAATGTTTATGAGATCTGTTTTCCTAGCTCAGAAACCAGCTTAGCAAATGCAAAGAAAACACACAGTGCAGCTTTTGAAAAAAGCCAACTTCTAAACTTTTGTGATCTTTTACAAATAATAAACCAATATCCTTCATTTATTTTGCCTAACAGTGTAGGATATTGTTGTAGAATATTTTAGAGAAAAGAGACCACATTTTGTGCATTACGTATATTCAAAAAACGAGGACGACAACAAAAATGCACATGGAGAGACAAAATGATCACATGAGAGGCTGGGCGCGGTGGCTCACACCTGTAATCCCAGCACCGATCATGAGAGAGGCCGGGCGCGAAGGCTCACGCCTGTAATCCCAGCAATGATCACGAGAGGCCGGGCGCAGAGGCTCACGCCTGTAATCCCAGCGCTTTGGGAAGCTGAGGTGGGAGGACTGCTTGAGACCAGGAGTTCAAGACCAGCCTACGCAACATAGTAAGACCCCATTTCTACAAAAATTACAAAAAAATTAGCCATGTGTAGTGGTGCGTGCCTCTGGTCCCAGATAGGAGGCTGAGGGGGGAGGATCACTTGAGTTCAGGAGGTCAAGGGTACAGTGAGCTATGATTATGCCACTGTACTCCAGCCTGGGTGACAGAGCGAGACTCTGTCCCCATATATATATGTGTATGAGGTGTCCATAAACAATGAGCAAAGCCTATCTGGCAGCTCCTGCAACTTTCAAGTCCGAAATGATAACACTGATAGTAGAAAATCTATCTTCCAGTACTGCTTGACCAAGCTTTTGTGTGTGTGTGAATTTTCTTTTCTAAGTAAATAAAAGAACAAGAAGTAGTTGTCCATCTTGTTTTTCTCTAAGACCAGCTCTGGCTCATTCTTTCTGTAACAGCCACAGTGAGTGACAGCAAAGATCTGATTTTATGATGGACTGTTAAAGAGTTTTGAGAGTAGAAGTCAATACCGAGTCTGAACTAAATACTGAGACATGAAGAAATATTCTTTCTTGTGAGTCTACCTACAGAAAAATGCTGGAAAACAATCTTGACATTTCACTTAGTAGCCGACCTGTTTTCTAAGAGACATTATCTTATCTACTAAAAAAAAAAAAAAAAAGGATGTGAAAGAGGAAAGACAGATAACATTCTAGGAATAGAACAACATAATAGCTTCAGTTTATAGTATTAACCCTTGCCGGGCGCGGGGGCTCACGCCTGTAATCCCAGCACTTTGGGAGGCCGAGGCGGGCGGATCACAAGGTCAGGAGATTGAGACCATCCTAACGCAGTGAAACCCTGTCTCTACTAAAAATACAAAAAATTAGCCGGGTGTAGTGGCAGGCGCCTGTAGTCCCAGCCACTCGGGAGGCTGAGGCAGGAAAATGGCATGAACCTGGGAGGCAGAGCTTGCAGTGAGCCGAGATCGCGCCACTGCACTCCAGCCTGGGTGACAGAGCAAGACTCCGTCTCAAAATAAATAAATAAATAAAAATAGAGAGTGGATGTTTACTGGCCAACATGGTACAGTAGGTGCATGAATTTCTGTGTTCTTCTTAGTGAACCTTGGCCCTTAAAAATAGATGATGAAATGGACAAAGAATGTGTTTGAAAACAGATGACTATAGTGACTCCAGCAACAATTTAATAGCACAATTCAAGTACTTCATCTGGATCTGGACTGAATAGATGTTTTAGTCATTCATAAAAGCCTGGAGACAGGGCTGCCCTCCACTGCAGAAACCCCCCATGGGGAGCAATCCTGTGTGCTTCACATGAAGGCAGCCAGGTGGCAGGGCTTCAGGAAGGCGGGTGGCACCTGGGATAAACAGTCCTGGTTCACACCTATGTTATCACCCAGATCACATCTCCCAGCCTCCATGGCAGAAGAAAGGCTTTTTTGGAAGATTTAGTAAGCACCAGTAGGCAAGTCTAAGGACAAAGAAAGGAGTAAAACCTAAGCCAGCCAGCAGGAGCCATGAGTCAGGGACGCGGATCATGTAAATTCTGCTGCCCCACTCTCTCCCTGCAAAGGGCCTGGGTACTCGCTCTTGGGGGCAGCAACAAGAAAGACACTGCTGGGGAGAATCAGACACATCCCCTCATGGAGGTGAGGGGCACCTGCAGGCTCACCTGCAGAGAGGAGGACAGGGCCCAGGAGGGAGTCTGAAAGGCCCCACCTGCTGGCGGGCCAGGAGAACGCCATAATTTCAAGTCACCAGCACAAGTTCAGAATTGCTGGAACCCAGGGGAGATAGAGGGTGTGGTGAGCCAAGATGGCACCACTGCACTCCAGCCTGGGCAGTAAGAGCGAAATTCCGTTTCAAAAAAAAACAAAAAAGACTGCACAGAACCTACACACACACAAATAAGCACAAGGAGGACTGGAGAGTATGCCCAGGAGGGGTGGATGTCAACATCCTGGCTGTGATATTACACTGGGGCTTTGCGAGATGTTACCATTGGGAAGAACAGGATAAAGGATGCAAGGGACCTGTATTATTTCCTGCAACTACATGTGAATCCATAATTATCTTAATTAAAAATTACACATGTGGAAAGAGTCCAAAGCTTCCCGTCACAGTCTCCATCATGGGGTTTACTCAGCAAATACCATTTTTGCACACTGTTAAGTACACATATACATAATCTCTAACCCCCGCAATAATCTTATAGATGTGCATTATTTCTGTTTTGCAAAAAATAAAAGAAACTGAGGCCCAGAGATGAAGGAATCCATCTAGAACCACACAAAATATGACTGAACAAGAGGCCAAAGCGCATGGCCTCCCGCTGTTCCATGCACCTCTCCAACATGTGGGCCACTTCAAGGCTGTAAAATGCCAATGTGAGAAAACAAATTGTAGGCCGGGCGCGGGCAGCGGTGGCTCAAGCCTGTAATCCAGCAACTTGGGAGGCCGAGATGGGCGGATCACGAGGTCAGGGAGATCGAGACCATCCTGGCTAACACGGTGAAACCCCGTCTCTATTAAAAATACAAAAACTAGCCGGGCGAGGTGGCGGGCGCTGTAGCCCAGCTACTCGGGAGGCTGAGGCAGGAGAATGGCGGGAACCCGGGAGGCGGAGCTTGCAGTGAGCTGAGAATCCGGCCACTGCACTCCAGCCCGGGCGGCAGAGCGAGACGTCCGTCTCAAAAAAAAAAAAAAAAAAAGAGAAAAACAAATTGTTCCTACAGGGGCTGTAAAATTTTCAAATTTTCTGGAAGCCCTTCATGATAGTAATCTGACGGTTTAAATGGCATTAAAAAGGGAGAGAAGTCAGCTGGGCGCGGTGGCTCACGCCTGTAATCCCAGCACTTTGGGAGGCCGAGGCGGGCAGATCATGACGTCAGGAGATTGAGACCATCCTGCTAACACGCTGAAACCCATCTCTACTAAAAATACAAAAAAATCAGCCGGGCGTGGTGGGCGCCTGTAGTCCCAGCTACTCGGGGAGGCTGAGGCAGGAGAATGGCGTGAACCTGGGAGGCAGAGCTTGCAGTGAGCCGAGATCGCGCCACTGCACTCCAGCCTGGGTGACAGAGCCAGACTCCGTTTAAAAAAAAAAAAAAAAAAAAAACAGTGGGGGAGAAGTTACAGACCAGTACATATGGTATGAGCTCACGTACTGAAGACCCTCGTGAACACAGCTCCCTCGGTATCTGCACTCCTATGTAGGCAAATGCACAGATCGGGGCAGACAGCTACAGGTATCACCAGTTGCCACCTCTTGGAGAGATGAAGGCAGAAGCAGAGGACTGGTCAGAGGGTGTTTGGACTTCAACCACAGTGTCTGAATTTTAGACCGCATTCCAATTCAACTTTTTTTTTTTTTAAAAGAAGGGGAAAAATAAAGCAAACACTTACTGCATTCATAGATCTGTTCCAGCTTATCCACAGAAGAAAGGGAGAAAAATTTATAACCGGACTTACTACCAACAGCTAGGGACCTGCAAAAAAGCCAAATTCAGAAATAAGAGCTGATACGTGCAGACAGTGACAATGTAGATAACTAGCTCCCACATTCCCAGCGATTTCCCAGCAAGTTCCCCTCATGCTCACCACAAGTCAGCACAGAGCAAATCATTTCATACTGTTTGTATCAAGTGCTTGGCACAGGAAGATGCCACAAGGTCAATAAAATACAGACAATATTATTACTTAAATCCTATAAAACTTTTCTGAGGCTGGATGTGGTGGCTCACGCCTGTAATCCCAACACTTTGGGAGGCCGAGGCAGGAGGACTGCTTGAGCCCAGGAGTTCAAGATTAGCCTGGGCAAAATACTGAGACTCCATCTCTACAAAAATAACAATAAAAATAAAACAATTAGCTAGGCATGGTGGTGCCCTTGTAGTCCCAGGGAGCTACTTGGGAGGCTGAGGTGGGAGGACTGCGTGAGCCCAGGACTGGAGGCTGAGGCTGCAGCGAGCTAAGATCGATCCTGCTACTGCACTCCAGTCTGGGAGACGGAGCGAGAGACTGTCTCAAGAAAAGAAACCAAGAAACTTTTTCTGGAGCTCTAACATACAGCATAGCAACTGTAGTTGATAATACCGTATCATGTACTTGAAATGTGCTGAGACAGCAGATCTTAAGTGTGCTTATCACAAAAACGTAACTATTTGAGGTGATACATACGTTAATTAACTTGACTGTGGTGATCACTTCAAAAGGCATGTGTATATAAACATAACACTGTATACCTTAAACAGATACAATTTTAATTATACCTCAATAAAGTGGAGGGAAAATTAAAATAAAAATACCAAAAAACAAACTCTATACAATTTTAAATATAAGTTTGGGATATAAGCACAAGTAATCAGCCTTACTGTTTCCCTCGAAACATACTGGGGTTTCTCAAGTGGTCTGATATATACACACAGTATACGTCAGAGTATGAGAGTTAAGCAAGCTGGTCAGGTGCAGTGGCTCACGCCTGTAATCCCAGCACTTTGGGAGGTCAAGGGGGCAGACTACTTGAGGTCAGGAATTCGAGACCAGCCTGGCCAGCATGGCAAAACCCTGTCTCTACTAAAAACACGAAAATCAGTCAGGCATGGTGGTAGGCACCTGTAATCCCAGCTACTTGGGAGACTGAGGCAGGAGAATTGCTTGAACCTGGGAGGAGGTGGCTGCAGTGAGTAGAGATTGCGCCACTGCACTCCAGTCTGGGTGACAGAGTGAGACTCCACTAAAAAAAAAAAAAAAAAAAAGTTAAGAAAGCCAATTTTCTAAATTTTTTTTTTTTTTTTGAGACGGAGTCTCGCTCTGTCGCCCAGGCAGGAGTGCAGTGACGCCATCTCGGCTCACTGCAAGCTCTGCCTCCCGGGTTCACGCCATTCTCCTGCCTCAGCCTCTCCCGAGTAGCTGGACTACAGGCGCCCGCCCCTGCCCAGCTAATTTTTTTTTGTATTTTTAGTAGAGACGGGGTTTCACCATGTTAGCCAGGATGGTCTCGATCTCCTGACCTTGTGATCCGCCCGCCTTGGCCTCCCAAAGTGCTGGGATTACAGGTGTGAGCCACCGCGCCCGGCCTAATTTTCTAAATTTTAAACAAAGGTATTTACAATCGAGGTGGACGCAGGCATCTCTCTGTGCTTCTGCAGGCCTTTAACACCCGTGACTCCATCCCCTACGCTGTGCCATGGCTGAGCAGTGGGTTGGAAACGAAACAGACTCAAAAGCTACCTTAGAGTCTGGAATCAAAGGCCTCATCGTTGGCTTACAAGGAAAAAGCAGAGGACTGGTTTGATGGCCTTGCGTTTATGATTCCATATTCATCACCCAACACCACCGCTTCTGCAAGGAGGCTCAAGGAACCCACAGTTCAGCAGTCCCTCCCAGCAGGGGCCTCAGGGACACCACAGAAGGGGTTTCCTCATCAAAAAAGTGCCTCTCCAGAACCCAGCTGACCAAAGAAAGCAAAACAAGAAGCAAGTCCAGCAAGCAAAAGAAAGATGAGCGAATGAGCAGGAAGCACTGGGGTATGGAGGAATCAGATACCAGGATCACTTTTAACGTCTGGGAGAACATGAAAACGAGTAGGTAAAACAGAAGGCTGAAACAGGGAAAGGGGATGTTTCACACTGAGTATTTGTACCCCAAGACAGGATCAGGGCTATTTTAATGATCATGTCATTTATTACAAACTTGAGATTTACAACTACTCTTTTACATATATGTGGAAGAAATGTATTCCAAGAAGGGAGTTACTGTAATCAGTATTAATCTGTAAAATCACACTGATTCATCTTAGAAGTATAAAAAGAACAGAAACAAAACTCTACCAGCTCATATAATTTTTCCTCGCAAAATTTTTTTGCTTTACTATACTGAATTAGTTGTATCAATTGTTTTATTAATGAAATAATTAGGTATTATTACCTGTAAATATTTTGAAAATTAATAAAAGAACCAAGAAGAATACAGTAATATCCCCAGGCTAAAAATAAAACAAAATCTCAGCAACCCAGAACTTTTGGGAAACTGATGTTCAGGAAAATATTTTCCAGATAACTAAGGGTTGCTATTTTAAGCATGACTCCCGCACTCCCAATTTCTGATTAAAAAAACAAATTGTTCTTAAATTGTATACCTTCCTGCGTCCTTAAAACAAGGGAAGACAAGTTCTTTTTTTTTTTTTTTTTTTTTGAGACGGAGTCTCGCTGTGTCTCCCAGGCTGGAGTGCAGTGGCGTGATCTCGGCTCACTGCAAGCTCCGCCTCCCGGGTTCACGCCATTCTCCCGCCTCAGCCTCCCAAGTAGCTGAGACTACAGGCGCCCGCCACCTCGCCTGGCTAATTTTTTGTATTTTTAGTAGAGACGGGGTTTCACCATGTTAGCCAGGATAGTCTCGATCTCCTGACCTCGTGATCCACCCGCCTCGGCCTCCCAAAGTGCTGGGATTACAGGCTTGAGCCACCGCGCCCGGCCGGGAAGACAAGTTCTTTTGAGTTGAGGGTTTGGTATCAAACAGCCAGACTGTAGTGCTGAGTTTATTTTATTTTATTTTTTGAGATGGAGTCTCGCTCTGTCACCCAGGCTGGAGTGCAGTGGTGCAATCTCAGCTCACTGAAACTTCTGCCTCCTGGGTTCAGTCAATTCTCCTGCCTCAGTCTCCTAAGTAGCTGGGATTACAGGCACCTGCCACCACCACGCTCAGCTAATTTTTATATTTTTAGTAGAGATGGGGTTTCACCATATTGGCCAGCTGGTCTTGAACTCCTGACCTCAGGTGATCCACCTGCCTTGGCCTCCCAAAGTGCTGGGATTATAGGCATGAGCCACCACGCCCGGCCTGTAGCGCTGAGTTTATAAAACTATTTTTCTATCTCTCGTTTTGCCTACAGTTATCACTTTTCCTTGTGACCATCCTACCATCATTAGCAGCCCCTGTCCTTTCTAATTTCTTGGTGACTTGGAAAGTAAATCATCAAGCTTATTAGCATTATGTATAAAATGAGCTTGTGGGGCGGGGGGACTTCTCCCACGGGCAAAATTAACGAGCCTTCGTCCCTGATCCTTGGGTTAGACATCCCAGGTCTCTGCTGTGCTCCCTACACATGGAATTTGTTAAAACTGGACTCTGCCAATCTAGTTCAGATATTTGGAAGCTGATGTAGGATATTAAATACCTCAGCTAGAAGTTTAACCCCATGGTTTATAAAACTGTGCATTCCAGTCAGTTAAGAAAGGGAAACAAAAATATTCCAAATTTTTTTGAGATGTATATATACCATAGTATGAGGACACTTTATTGTAAAGATAAGTTTTTTTTTTTTTTAGATGGAGTTTCGCTCTGTCATCCAGGCTGGAGTGCAGTGGCACAATCTCGGCTCACTGGAACCTCCATCTCCTGGGTTCAAGCGATTCTCCTGCCTCAGCCTCCCAGGTAGCTTGGATTAGAGGCATGCACCACCATGCCCAGCTAATTTTTTGTATTTAGTAGAGATGGGGTTTCACCATCTTGGCCAGGCTGGTCTCAAACTCCTGACCTCGTGATCCACCTGCCTTGCCTTTCCAAAGTGCTGGGATTACAAATGTAAGCCACCATGCCCGGCAAAAGTTTTTTTTGTTTTTTTTTTTTGAGACGGAGTCTTGCTCTGTCGCCCAGGCTAGAGTGCAGTGGCGCTATCTCAACTCACTGCAAACTCCGCCTCCTGGTTCAAATGATTCTCCTGCCTCAGCCTCCTGAGCAGCTGGGATTATAGGCACCCACCATCGCACCTGGCTAATTTTTGTATTTTTAGTAGAGATGGGGTTTCACCATCTTGGCCAGGCTGGTCTCAAACTCCTGACCTCGTGATCCACCTGCCTTGCCTTTCCAAAGTGCTGGGATTACAGGCATGACCACCACACCCGGCCTAGATAAGTATGTTTAAAGAATGGTATTAAATATAAATGTGATTGATATTTTTGTCTCAACATCAACAATCAAGTTCTACAACCCTTTGGAGATTTTGCCTTAAACAATTTCAAAATTAACCTGACCATAAAATGGCAGACATATTAACGGGAGAGGCAGAGCAATAGGTAAGTATGAGATTTTTCCCTAATACACAGTTTTATTGCCAAAAAGTGTTTATTTATTTATTAAGTCAACAGAGTGGGGTTTTTTTTTTTTTTTTTTGAGACAGGGTCTCACGCTGCCACCCAGGCTGCAACGCAGTGGTGTGATCTCGCCTTACTGCAGCCCCAACCTCCTGGGCTCAAGGGATCTTCCCATCTCAGCCTCCCGAGTAGCTGGGACCACAGGCGCGTGCCACCACACCTGGCTAATTTTTGTGTTTTGTGTAGAGTCGAGGTCTCCCCATGTTGCCCAACCTGGTCTTTAACTCCTGAACTCAAGGGATCTTCCCACCTTGGCCTTGCAAAGTGCCAGGATTACAGGCGTGAGTCATTGTGCCTGTCCCCATCAGTGGGCTCTTTCATTGACAAAGGGGAAAACTAGCAAATCATAACCAAATATGTATTGGTTCAATCCCCCATTTTGCCACTATTCCTCACCTTCAACTGTGCCTGGTGCCCAAACCCAGAGACCAGGCCTGTCCTTTGCCAGGGAAGGACAGAGTCACTGCATTTTAAACATACTTGAAACCCATCCTCCTCATTTCACACCTGCACAACTCCGCCTCTGGAGCCCTGGACTGCCCATTCCCGAGCCTGTCGGGGATTCTGCAGTTTAAACTACGTTGGTTCTCTGCTTTCTTCACTAGCAATTTTAGATCCCACTTCCTTTACCACTCACTAGCTTCCAAATTGGCTAATACCGCCTTTCTCATTCTTTCTATCCTATGAATTTAAGCCTTTTAAAATATCTTTTTGAGGCCAAGGGTGGTAGCTTGCGTCTGCAATCTCAGCTACCCAGGTAGGAGGATCACTTGAAGCCAGGAGTTTGAGACCAGTCGGGGCAACAAAGGGAAACCCCGTCTCTACTAAAATAAAAAATTAAGAAATGTTTAAAATTAGAAAATATATTTTTTTGGCATTTTACTGATTAACATTTTATTAGGGTCTGGGGATGGAACCAAAATAAATGCTTATGTTTGATCCATCATTTTTAACTGAAAGTCTCTGTCAATGAATTGAAACTTGAACATTCAACATCAAAAAGACAGTGACTGCCACTCAAAAATGAAGATGTGAGTCAGATTTTTTGCTTTTCTTCCTTTTCTCCCCCATCCCTAATTGTCAGTCCATATTCTTCTTCATCCTCTTTGCGGAGAAGCCATACTTGATTGCGAGCTTAGGTGGATACAGCCCGACACTGTAAACCAAAAGCAACCTCAACTGTAGTTGCCAGCCCAGACCTGGTAGGGCCTGGTAGGCCCTGGTGCCATCTCTTTTAGGGCTATGGACAGCCCACCCCTATCCCCGCTCCACCTCACATCCTCCACCTCCACATCCCTGCAGCCTTTCCAACTCATCAGTATCCCGAGTAGAGCTCTCTCCTCCTTGGCTTCTTCACCACGATGTTATCACATTCACTCGGAACCCAAGCCAGAAACTGGGTGACATCTAAGTTCTCCCTTGGCTGCAGAACGCACGCCCTGTGGGTCACACAAGTCCTGACGGCGAGTCAGTCTCCTTCTCACTGGTCACTGCTGTTGGACAATATCTTCCTAAGTCACCCTCTGCCCTCCTCAAACATATCCTTTGCAAAGCAGGCAGAATGACTTAAAACTTTAAGGGTGAAGGATCTTAAAAACCATCTTTAGGCCGGGAACAATGGCTCATGCCTGTAATCCCAATACTTCGGAGGCCGAGGCAGGAAGATCGCTTGAGGCCAGGAGTTCAAGACCAGCCTGGTCAACACAGCAAGACCTTGTGCCTACAAAAACTATAAAAAAAAAAAGAATTAGCCAGGTGTGGGGCTCATGCCTGTAGTCCCGGTTTCTCGGGAGGCTGAGGCAGAAGGACCGCTTGAGCCCAGGAATTCAAAGTTGCAGTGAGCTATGATCATTATAATTGTGCCACTGCACTTCCAACTGTGCAACAGCGAGACTCCATCTCAAAAACAAAAACCCTTGATTTACAGATGAACCAAGAGAACAGAGCAGTACCTTCCCAGGACAATGAGCATAACCTAGAAGAGACATGGTGGAAGAACACAACAGGTTTCTCCTACTGTCTCCAGACACTTCATAACATCCATTCTACAAACACAAGACTTGGAAAGTCAAGTCCCTTTCTTCATTCCATCCCTTTTAGACATGGTGTTTAAAACAGACATTGCTACATCACTAACTTCCCACAAGCTGTGGTGTCCACTGGAAAAATGCAGTCCTTGGTATTTCCATTTCAGATTCAAGTGATCCTCTGCCACTTATTAACTGGTTCACTTCAATTTCAAAAAGCCAAAAAGTCCTCTAACATAAGCCTTCCGAGGTGATACTTTTAGAAACCAGGGTTGGAACTAACCAGACAACAGCGCGACGGCCAAGACCAGCTGCTCTTGATGCCCTTTTCACTTCTCTAGGTAAAAAAAACAAAACAAAACAAAAAACAGATGGTAAAAAACAAATAAAATGTATGCACACTTTTAGGACAAGAATCATGAAAAAGTACGACATTGGAAATCATATTACCAGTACAAGGAGAAAGGCAGGACAGTTATAGTTTGGCATGTAACAAATACAAAAAGAATTTAAAAGACAAAAAAAAGGGAAATGATCCTATAACATATATATATTCCAGTAAGTGAACTGGCTTCCAAAGTTTCTCACTCAATATAGTAAATGTGAGTTCTAGACGGACATTCTTTCTCTTGCTAAAAATTGTGCTCCTCAATAAATTCTGGAGATTAAGAAGGAAAAGGTATAAGCCATAAAAGCTCTCTCCGGGAACTTCTATTTCTTCCAAGTGTAGATTTAAAACAAATTACAGTCATTTTAGCCCAGTCAACTTCTAGTATAATCCTAGCTTACTATTCATTCCAATTTAGGTTTACACTACATCAAGGTCTCTCTGGCAAGTCAAAGTTATGAAATCTCAAAGTAACAGAAATTTCTTGAACTGTAATAACTTCAGGGAGCATAGAGAAGTGGGTGTGAAAATGTCCTAGTTCAGGCCAGAGTGACACTCTCCTGTGACACAGGGAACATGGCAGTCCAGCTGAAGTAACAGCAAAAGAGAATGCTTTTCTATCTTTGATTTCATTCTGACAGAAATAATTAATGAAAAACTGAAAGAGTGGCCGACAATGTTTTGGAAACTCTCTAATTTATACATGGCATAAACCCCTTTACTACCACCATTTCTTACTAGTCTCCAAATACTGTGGGCTTGGGCTTAAAAGCGAAATTAGAATTGGGTTGTGATGTCCTTTTCCCTATCTGGATTAAGATAGTCTATTCCACTTCAACTGCAACAGGTTGTCTGAATTGTTTGTTGTTCTGGCTTTTGGTCACACAGAACACTACAGTACTTGGGAGTTTTAATCTTTATACGTTGTTATGCTATTATTTCTAAATTCACTGTCTTCAGAATTCTACTCTGTAAATAGAAAAAAAAACAGCATGGCAGAGCAGAAAGAACACTGGAAGAGAACTCAGGAGGCTAGATTCTACTCCTGCCCCCACTCCACTATTAACCAATTCGAAGACCCAGGCCAGCTTGGAGCCTTTCGGAAGGATTTCCTCATCTCTAGCTGGATGAGGTGATTTGCCCCTTCCGATTATCAATGCAGTCCCACTGTGCGACTGTCTTCACAGGTTTGGTGAGCTGCTATTGAGCGCCTCCTGTACACCACTCACTGGGTGTTGGCCATTCTACAGTTCACTTTTAATTTCCTAAAGAGTCTCATTTTCTGCTTTCTTAATTCCACTCAGCTAGTAACAACTCAACCAATGACTTAGTAAGATGCCAAATGACCCACTCCTCCTCCTCTTTCCTCACTTCCTGTTACTCACTTCCAAGATGGCTCTCCTCCCTGCCAACCCCATAACTCATCCTTCTCTCTCCAGAAAGCTCGCTCATCTATTAACCATCCCCACAAGCCCTCCTCCCACGCAGCATCCAACCCGTATCAGTGTGGACAAACAGCGTTCCGAATGCATGGGCTGTATGGGCTGGCCTTAAGGCCTTCTCTTGCCCAGAGGATGACCCGCCCCGTGGAGCTCTGAGACTCCTGAGGCACTGGTCTGTAACGCCTCTCTTGGCTCGGTTTCTCCCTAGCTAGGTCAGACACCAAGGTTATTGCTAAGTTTGTTACTTGCTGCAGAAGTCATCAAAGTTACCTCCCAAAAAGAACAGTGAGGGCCGGGCACGGTGGCTCACACCTGCAATCCCAGCACTTCGGGAGGCTGAGGTGGGCGGATCACTTGAGGTCAGGAATTCCAGACCAGCCTGACCAACATGGTGAAACCCTGTCTCTACCACAAATACAAAAAAGTTAGCTGGGCCCAGGGCGCGTGCCTGTAGTCTCAGCTACTTGGGAGGCTGAGGCAGGAGAATTGCATGAACCCGGGAGACGGAGCTTGCAGTGAGCTGTGATCGCACCACTGCACTCCAGCCTGGGCAACAGAGCAAGACTCCGTCTCAAAACAAAACAAATCCCAAAAAACAAAAACAAAGAAAAAAAAAAAAACAGTGAGAAACAAAGAAAAGAAAATCAAGAGAGAGAGAGAAGGGACCTTAAGACGATGAAGAGACAAGGAGAAGGGCCTGATTCAAAGGAGAGTGAGTGGGAGACGCTGAGCAAGAAGCGGGCAGAGAAGAGAGGAGAGGAAGCGACCCACTCCCAGCGCTCCACAGGCGGCCAAGACAAGTCAAGCCCCAAAGTTCGGCCCCAACTTTGCGAGAAGTAGTGAGGTCTGAAGCCAGGGGGCCTCCCCGCAAGATGGTGAAAGCAGGTCCCCTCTCCACCACCTCTCCCGCTCCGGGGCCGCAGCTCCAGGCCAGGGCCCGAGGGTCTCCCTGGAGGGCGCCCCTCCCTGCGCGCCCCGGGCCCGCCCCCTGGGACGCCTCTGCCCGCCTTGGCCCGCAGGCAGGCCAAGCCTGCGACCCCGCCGAGCTTGGCAGCGAGGCCCTCCCCCTAGCCCGGGTCCGACCGTGGCCTCATCCCGACCCAGACCCCCGATCCCGGCCTTACGTGATGTCCTGGTTAAAGTTGGCGAAGAGCAGCTGGCCGGCGCCGGCCTCCCCGCTCTGGCTCGCCAGGTTCATGGCTGGGCGCGCGGCGAGTGGGCCCGGCCGCGGAGGGCGCGCGCGCGAGGGCGGGTCAGGCTGCACTCAGGGTCGGCGCCGGGCCCCGCTAGCCGCCTGGGTCGCCGCCACTCGCCGCCCTAGGATCAACCGCCGCCTCATCACGTCCCCGCTCTTGTTTATGCTCCGGAGCCGGGGCGCCCGCTGCGCCTGCGCGCCCCGCCCCCGCGACGCACGGCCTCGCGCGGCGCAGTCGCACTGCGGAGGCCCCGCCCCCTCACCTCCTGCCTAGGCTTGGGTTCCGGTGGATCACGCACGCGTGGGGACGCGTTGGGGCCCGCGGGGTCCGGCTGAGGGCGCGCCGCGGCCGCGCATGCGCATGGGGCAGAGCGGGCGGGAGTGTTTTCTTCGTACCCTCCTCTTGATAATACTCAATGGCCCGGCACGGTGGCTCACGCCTGTAATTCCAGCATTTCGGGAGGCCGCGGCGGGCGGATCACCTAAGATCAGAAGTTCGAGAGCAGCCTGGCCAAAATGGTGAAACCTCGTCTCTACTAAAAATGCAAGAAAAATTAGCCGGGCTTGGTGGTGCACGCCTGTAATCCCAGCTACTCGGGAGGCTGAGGAAAGATAATCGCTTGAACCCAGGAGGCGGAGATTGCAGTGAGCCGAGTTCGTGCCACTGCACTCCATCCAACCTGGGCGATACAGCGAGACTCTGTCTCTAAAAAAAAAAAAAAAAACCTCAATGGGCCCTCCATGTGCCAATCACTGTGCTGAATGCTTCTGCGCATTACCTTATCATTTTATTATTTTTAAAGACAAGGTCTCGCGCTGTTGCCCAGCCTGGAGTGCAGAGGCTCAATCACAACTCACTGCAGCCTCAAACTCACAGGCTCAAGCGAGCCTCCCACCTCAGCCTCCCAAGTAGCTGGGACCACAAGCACATGCCACCACACTCTGATAACTTTTAAATTTTTTGTAGAGATAGGGGGAGGGGCGGGGGGGTCTTACTATGTTGCCTAGGCTGGTCTCGAATTCCTGGCCTCAAGTGATGCTCCCACCTTGGCTTACCAAAGCCCTGGGATTACAAATGTGAGCCACTGTGCCCGGCCACATTATCTTATTTGATGCCCATTACAATCCTATGTAGAGAATAGTACATCTTTATTTTACAGATTTGAAAATTGAGGCTCAGAAATAATTATTTGCCAAGCACTAGATCTGAGACTGGAAACGTCCTTGTTTCTCTGAGGTCCATGCTGTCTGGGTTCCTGGGACAGAATCTTCCCTTAAATTTATTCATTCATTCAACAGTATTTAGGACGAACCTCTCATGTGAACTAAATAGGCCTCCTCCTTTCCCTCAGAGAAGTTATAATGGGGAGATATTTAAATATAATTAGAAGGCCGGGTGCGATGGCTCTTACCTGTAATCCCAGCACTTTGGAAGGCTGAGGCAGGTGGATCACCTGAGGTCGGAAGTTCCAGACCAGCCTGGCCAACATGGTGAAACCCCGTCTCTACTAGAAATACAGAAATTAGCTGAGTGTGGTGGTGGGCACCTGTAATCTCAGCTACTAGGGAGGCTGAGGTGGGAGAATTGCTTGAGCCCAACAGGTGGAGGTTGCAGTGAGCCAAGACTGCACCACTGCACTCCAGCCTAGAAGGACGAAAGAGTGAGACTTCATCTAAAATAAAATAAAATAAAATAGGCTGGGCATGGTGACTCACGTCTGTAACCCCAGCACTTTGGGAGGCTGAGACAGGTGGATCACCAGAGTTCGTGAGTTCGAGACTAGCCTGCCCAACATGGTGAAACCCTGTCTATATGAAAAATGTAAAAATTAGCCAGGTGTGGTGGCGCAGCCCTGTAATCCCAGCTACTCAGGAGACTGAGGTGGAAGAATTGCTTGAACCCGGGAGGTGGGGGCTGCAGTGAGCTGAGACTGCACCACTGCACTCCAGCCTGGGCAACAGAGTGAGACTCTGTCTCAAAAAATAAAATAAAAAAATGTAATTAGAAACGGGGGTACAGCCGGGCGTGGTGGCTTATGCCTGTAATCCCAGCACTTTGGGAGGCCGAGGCGGGTGGAGATTGAGACCATTTTGGCCAACACCGTGAAACCCCATTTCTACTAAACAAAAGACAAAAAATTAGCTGGGCGTGGTGGTGGGCACCAGTAGTCCCAGCTACTAGGGAGGCTGAGGCAGGAAAATGGTGTGAACCTGGGAGGCGGAGCTTGCAGTGAGCCAAGATCATACCACTGCACTCCAGCCTGGGTGACACAGCAAGACTCTGTCTCAAAAAAAAAAAAAAAAGAGAAAGAAACGGAGTACAAGGTACGCATATATGTTCTTTTTTTTTTTTCTTTTTGAGATGGAGTTTCACTCTTGTTGCCCAGGCTAGAGTGCGATGGCGCAATCTTGGCTCACCGCAAGCTCCACCTTCCGAGTTCAAGTGATTCTCCTGCCTCAGCCTCCTGAGTAGCTGGGATTATAAGCGTACACCACCACACCCAGCTAATTTTTGTATTTTTAGTAGAGACGGGGTTTCTCCATGTTGGTCAGTCTGGTCTCGAACTCCTGACCTCAGGTGATCCGCCTGCCTCGGCCTCCCAAAGTGCTGGGATTACAGGCATGAGCCACTGTGCCCGGCCGTGAATGCATATCTGTAAATCACACAACCTGGATGTAAGGGACAGGGACTGTGCTATTGAGAAGGCTCCTGGAAGAGATGAGACCTGAAGTTTGAGTAACTAGTCTAAGGGAATGAAAATACTGTATATGGGAAGGGCTTGGGGATGAGGGTGTGACCTGTCCAAAGAACTCTATATTCAGAGTGGAAAGGCAGACACAAGGCGAGATTTGGCAGGAGAGACAGCAGGTGACCAGATCAAGTTGGGTATTGTTAAGCAAGGAACTGATCATTATCTGATTATTGTCCATAAGAGCAATGGTCTGCCGCTGAAGACAGGTAGGAAAATGCAACGATCTAATGAGTGCTTACGGAAGTTAACTCTAATTATAGGGTCAAGAACGCATTGGAAATCATTGAGTAAAGGACGGTCTTTTCAATAAAGGGAATAAATACCCCTACCTCACACCACATTCAAAAATTAATTTGAGATAGATTATAGTCCCAGATGTGAGAGGTAAAAACAATAGAATTTCTAGAAGGAAACAAGAGAATGCCTTCATAATTTTGGGATAAACAAAGTGGTCTAAACAGGTACTTTAAGGCGGGTGTGTTGGCTCATGCCTTTAATCCCAACAGTTTGGGAGGCTGAGGCAAGCAGATTGCTTGAGTCCAGGAGTTTGAAACCAGACTAGGCAACGTGGGGAAACCTGGTCTGTACAAAAACACAAAAATTAGCCGGGCGTGGTGGTGTGTGCGTGTAGTCCCAGCTCCTTCAGAGGCTAAGGCAGGAGGATGGCTTGAGCCTGGGAGTTTAAGCCCGCAGTGAGCTATGACCACGCCAGTACACTCCAGCCTAGGTGACCGAGCAAGATCCTGTCTCAAACCAAAACAAGTTCTTTAAAAAGTAGTAACCACAGGCCCGGCGCTGTGGGTCACCCCTATAATCCCAGCACGCTGGGAGGCAGAGGCGGGCGGATCACGAGGTCAGGAAATCAAGACCATCCTGGCTGACACCGTGAAACCCCGTCTCTGCTAAAAATACAAAACATTAGCCGGGCGTGGTGGCAGGCGCCTGTGGTCCCAACTACTCGAGAGGTTGAGGCAGGAGAATGGCATGAACCCAGGAGGTGAAGGTTGTAGTGAGCTGAGATCGCGCCACTGCACTCCAGCCTGGATGGACACAGCGAGGACTCGTGTCTCAAAAAAAAAAAAAAAAAAGTAGTAGTAATCAAAAATGAGAGATTGGCCTTCATCAACATTGAGAAAATGGGCTGTTTTCAAGAGACCATTAAGAGAGGAAGAAAAGGCAAGCCTTGGAGGATACATATATTTGTCAGTATATATATAGTGAGGGGTGCGGGCTGAGTAGTATAATATTTTTTTTTTTGAGACGGAGTCTTGCTCTGTCGCCAGGCTGGAGTGCAGTGGCACAATCTTGGCTCACTGCAACCTCTACCTCCCGGGTTCAAGCAATTCCCCTGCCTCAGCCTCCCTGGTAGCTGGGACTACAGGCATGCGCCACCACACCAGGCTAATTTTTTGTATTTTAGTAGAGACACAGTTTCACCATGTTGGTCAGGATGGTCTCGATCTCCTAATCTCATGATCCGCCCGCCTCGGCCTCCCAAAGTGCTGGGATTACAGGCGTGAGCCACCACGCCCAGCCTGCAATATATATTTTTGACAAAGGAATTACACCCAGAACTTCTGCACATCAATAGGAAACATATAGACAGTTCTCTCTCTCTTTTTTTTTTTTTTAACGAGGTAGAATACTTGAACACAGGCACGTCACAAAAGAGGATATCAGAATGGTTAATGAGCATCTGAAAAGGTGGTGATCATTAATACTCATTAAGAAGATGCAAATTAAGCCTGGGTGTGGTGGCTCACACTTGTAATCCCAGCACTTTGGGAGGCCGAGGTGGGTGGATCACCTGAGGTCAGGAGTTCGAGATCATCCTGGCCAACACGGTGAAACCCCGCCTCTACTAAAAATGCAAAAATTAGCCGGGTGTGGTGGTGGGCACCTGTAGTCCTAGCTACTCGGGAGGCTGAGGCAGGAGAATTGCTTGAACCTGGGAGGTGGAGGTTATAGTTAGCCGTGATGGTGCCACTGCACTCCAGCTTGGGTGACAGAGCGAGACTCCATCTCAAAAAAAAAAAGAAAGAAAGAAAAAGAAAATGTAAATTAAGAGCAAATGAGATATTACTAAGCATCCACCAAATTGGCTAAAATTAAAGCAACTGACAATCCCGAGTGTGGATGACCATAGAGTGCAATTGGAACTCTCATACACTGGGGATGAAAGTCTACTTATTTATTTATTTATTTGACACGGCGTCTCGCTCTTGCCCAGGCTGGAGTGCAGTGGCGTGATCTCCGCTCACTGCAAGATGAAAGTCTAAATTGTTTCAACTGCTTTGGAAAACTTGGGCACTATCTACTAAAGGTTTTTTTTTTTTTTTTTTTTTTAAATAGAGTTTTGCTCTTGTCGCCCAGGCTGGGGTGCAGTGGCATGATCTCGGCTCACTGCAACCTCAGCCTCCACCTCCCAGGTTCCAGCGATTCTCCTGTCTCAGCTGCCCGAGTAGCTGGGATTATAGGCAC